CGGGCCGTCCTCTCTCTCTCTCTCTCTCTCTCTCTTTCTCTCTCTCTCTCTCCCTCTCTTTCTCTCTGTCTCTCTTCCTGCCTGTTAGGCCGTTTGGCTGCCTTGCTGCCTGACTGGCGGGATGGCTGGCTATCGAGCGACGCCGATGCAATTCCAATTCCTGGCTGTCAGCGGCAGAGCTGCGGGAGACGCGTCCATTCGTGATCAGCCTCCCGTGAAATCCCGTGCCTCCCCTCCTCAGCTCACCCCGAAACGAAACCCGGTCTCTCTCATTCACTCTCACTCTCTCTCTATCTCTCTTTTTCTCTTTCTCTCTCACGCTGCCGTTCGCTCCGCTATTCTCTCCTTTCAACCCTATATCTTCCTCTCACTCTGATCCCCGTCAACCGCCTCCAACCTCCCGCCCGCTCCCATCCACGTTCCCCGTCGAACATCGAGTCCCCTTTCGCCCTCCTCTTGTCCCCTTTCCAGCCGTTTCTACTGTGTTAATGCGTCAAATGCGTGGCCCTCTCGCGACTTCGGTTTCGCTGATTCCCCGAAGGTCCAGAGATGTATCTGCGATGAACTTTGGCTCTTGCAAATTGTGCCGCAAGATCGCTGGATTCGCAATAAATTTCTAACATATATATATATAGTTTGTATTTTAGAATTATTGAGAAGTTCTGTGATTTTAATTGACGGCAGATGTTTAATTACAATAATAATATATTTCAAAATAAAGATGCAACATAAATTTCTGTTTTATGTACGTGTATACGCATCATTTTATAAGATAAAACTTTGCTATATCGCGCTGCATGAACTATGGGAAAAGTTCGAGAGAACGAAAGAGCAGAAAATTTATCAGCGTACGCTGGAATTTATCGTCGCGCAACGATGTCCTATATAAACCGGTCGGGAGGAATCGCTGTGTGGATCGACAGATAGGATCCACCAGAGGAAAGATAAATGTCGCTGTACATATGCCGCGGAGCGCATGTACATTGTCGTATAGGTGCGTCTTTTTCTTCGATGTCACTGCATTGTACCTACATGTATGCGCGACGGTATACCTCGTCGTCACTGGGATTCTTCTTGCAGGGGCGTGTGTCGGGGCACGGTCTACGAGGAAAAGTAAGACAAGAAATACAAGGACGGGAGAAGAGCCGGGATAGCGGGAGGGAGGATACAGGAGGAAGGTAACGCTGGAAGATGGTGGAAGGCGGAGAAAGAGAGAAGCCCCTAACACACAACACAATCCGGCGGCTTCGTCTGCTTCGATGGATTTTAAAAGATCCCCGAGATTATTACTTTTTCCTTTTCTTTCATTTTCATTCTTCTATTATTATTTCAGAGGAGAGAGAAGCGAGGAGCGGATGGGTGCGCGCTCGCGCGCGCCCGCGCGAAAGTGTGCGTTCACCACGTGTGCATTATGTTGTTGTGTGTATGTGTGTACGTACGTATATACGCGTGTACGTTCCTATATACGTGCTCGCTCGTCCCAGGTTGAGCTAGGCCGGGCTTGGGTTGGGTTGGATGCGTGGAAACCATGGACGACTTTGGGTAGGCTCGTTGGTTTCCCGCCGCGACTATCGGCGCGTATTGAAGCTCATCGTCACGGAAGTAACGTCGGGACAACGGCAGCGGCCTGAACGGGAGTGACGACAGAGACGAAGAGAGCCGAGCAACAAAAAGAGAGCGGGATAGCTTGATAACGGGAGCGAAAGAGAGAAGCCGAATGGCCGGAGAGGGATGGTTTCTAAAGTGAGAGAGACCGCACCAGATGTTGCCGCTCTCTGCCATCGGCGTTCACCGCGCGTTCGCGTGTCTTTACTTCTGTTTTATGTCGATGCTCCTCGGCTTTTTCCGCCTCCGCGTGGACGAAGGGGCCGCGGATGAAGGGCTTGCGATAATATGTAAAAGTCGATCTCGATGGGTAATAGACCAGAGAGCGTTACGCGGTAACTCGAGGAGTTAAAAACATTCGTTACGGAGTTTATCGCGCGGCGCATTAATTGGCACGTAATTGCATCTGAAAATGCTAACTGCGAAACGCGCGAATTTGAAAGCGCGACTGCCGTTTATAATTTAATTTTAGATTACGTCGTGCGACGTAATATCGACGTTGCATATTCGTTACGAAAGCGTCGCATCCTTTTTATCAAGGAGGCGTATTATAAGTATAATAAACGGGAGAGCGCACCCTCTCTCCGCGTTGTAACACGAAAGGGCACCGCTCGATGAACCCTACCCAATCTCACGCGCGCTGCGATCTCCGCGCCACAATATGGGCCGCAGACCACAAAAGCAAAAGCCGAATGCTATTATTAACTCTGAGCGATTTCTTACAATGGTGGATTTAGTAAGGGTTGTCCCATTACGTACAGTTCATCTCACTTGAGGTGCAGGTAAGTACAGGTGTGGGTATCGGCAAGTTAAATCCGGCGGTGAGGTAAGAAGGGAACGGTTCATTCTGTAACAATCGAGACACCTTTGTTGCGTGCACGTAAATAGTAAGTAGGTGGATCAATACTATCAGCACGCGGCGCGTCTTTTATTATCGCCGATAACATCGTGGTATTTACCCCGCCGCGGAGGCACAGTTAAAACTGCTGGCGCTATATTTAACGATGTATTTCAACGTAAAGCGTCATAATCGCTGGTTCCGCTACTAATAGTTGTATGAATGAGTCGATTATCACGACCGGAAGCACGCGTTAGCGCTTAAAAAAAGCAGCACGTGTCGTAAAGTCTGCGTATAAAACATGCTGTTGCAGCATCAGCGTACGCTCACTCAAAGCTATTTCTCCGGTCAATTTTATTAGCTCGTGATCTTTACAAATAATTTAAAATAAAATGATTTTTGTGCGAAGGGAGGAAAAACACATGTTAAATGAAAAAGGGTGTTCCGTTGGGGTCGCAATATTCCTATATGTTACTTCATTTACACCTCTGTTTCTATACATATTACCTAATGTCGATTGCAAAGTCCGAAAACGTAAGCGAACTAATTCGCCCAAGTCAATTGGAAATAAATTCACAATAGCGCTGTTGAATCGGGGCAGCGTTTCGTAACGATTCCGTGATATGATCGAAATAAACTCTGAAAAGCCGCGGTTTATATCCACGCGGCCGGCCTTTCTATAGACCGAACCAGAGTCTCTTCACGATGCTCCGTGTTCCGTAAAGCCTTCCGAATGTTACGAGGTATTGTCGTCGGTGACACTTCCACGCCCAAAGTCTCAGCGGAGACAGATTGCCGCGAGCGATTCTCGATGCACATCCATTCCGCATTTACGCACGTCCCGTGACGTATCAACCCGGAAAATCGATGGATATCCTACGGCGAGTACTCAATCGAATTTTGATAGAAATGTGAAAAGAGTCTGTTCGAACTCGCTGAATCTTAGAAAGTAACAAATGACGCACGCGACATTTAAATTGTTGAGCGGAATAAAACAATATCATATATTAACATACCATATTAAATACTTTCATAATGTTATTGCTTTTGAAAATCAGAAAGATATGATTTATATTATTATTTAGATTTGCAAGTTTCACAGTTAATGATTCCGAATAATCGCACGCAGGTATAATAAAATAACATATTAAAATTGTTATTTATTGCAATATTGTTATTTCGAAAAGTCAGAAAGAGACGATTTATATTTCGTTCCACCGTTCAATTAACACTATGTCTATCATTGACACGTTCAACACGTCCAATACATGTTCCACTTGCTAATGATCTCGGAGTGACAACATGATCGCATGCAGGTGTCAGGCCCATACGCAGGCAGTCTCCTAAATGTTAATCGCGAGCTGTCATTGACCCTCATACCTGACACTCACACCACTGTCAGCTGAGGGCGCCCTCCGGATGCTGCGATGGCATTCGAAGGCGTCCGATGAAGGGTGTAACGCGTCCACGAGGCAAAACGGTGTGCCCCGTGTCCGCTCGCACTATTCTCCACCACCCACGAATCCTCTCCTGTGTTCACGCATACACACACACACGCGCGCGCTCTTTAAGGGAGGGAGGTCAAGCAGGACCTCCGCGCTGGACGGCTCTACGGGTGTACGTCCCGCGGAACCTACGATACATCATTTTCGGCTGGGATGATCTTACGGTAGATTTACCATTTGTACAGTTTATGGGCGTCGGTCTGGGCCATAAACTTGGTTGGCAATGACGGCGACCCGCGCCACCGCCGCCGACTAAGTTAGGTAAGCCCGGACGATGGCTCGTGACGGTGGTAGTTTCGGGGGCAAAATCTCGGGGAGGTGGTGCAAGAGAGCATCATGCAGACGCGAAATTTGTGTCTGCGTTTGGTAGCAGCGAAAGTGCCATCGACATATTAGTCATTTCTGGATTCACATTGATAATCTTTTAGAGATCTCTAAAAGATTATTAATAATAATTTGCACTTTCAAAAATAAAGCTGCGCTAATAATAAAAAAATAATAAAAATGTATCCTTAAATAAATATAATAAATATATTCGATTAATATCTTTGCATAGTTATGAAAAAAAAAAAAAAGAATTTTTATTAGATTTTAACATGTCATTGGTTTAACAATACACGTCGCTATCAATTTTTTAGACGCTACAGATGCGTTTAAATATACAAGTACATCTTGCAATGTTTCAAATATCATGTTAAGGTGAAATCACATAAAAACTGTTCGCTCGTGCAAATTCGAATTATTACGCATCGCGTGCGTATCGGAATCGCGCCATCGTCGAGCTCGTTACGGGACGCACAAAATCCTTTTTACGCCCTGTCGTCCGTTGCGTTTGACCCGTTTCGAGAGATTCCACAATAGGATGAGTAGCGAGCACGGGGTATGCGGGATCGAGATATCCTGTGTGTCTACGGTGGCCCTACCGACGTACAAACGGCTCTACTACGGTAAAGCACCGGCACAGAGCGCTGCGGAATCGGCGACTCCCACTCGATCAGAAGCCGAATGGAAATTAAATGCGCAGTCGACCGTTATACTGATTGATTTGTATTCTGCGATCTGCTGGCATGGCGAGGAAGTGTGCTAAACTGTGGGATTTATGTTCTCTCCTAATTGCGTCGCTCTCCCTACTCTTCCGCCCACATATCTAGTCTATATTACTGCTCCATCATCCTCCGCGATCCGTGCTGAGCTAACATCCTTGCTAGATTAATTCAACATTTATGTGAAACGATGTGTTTTTATCATGTGCAAATCATCTCACCGAGATATATTTAACAAAGATGTTCAATTAAAGTAATTGCAATATGCTTAGTAAGGGAAATATGCGTTTTTGAAGATAATATGTCAGATAAAATTATATAATGTCTCCACAATGCAAATTTTAAAGAATATTTACTTTGACACTTTTGTGCATTGGAGAACGTAGATGGATTTCTACAAGTTATTGTGTCTTGTTAAATAATGTAAATTAATTATATATGAATTGCTACAAATTATCGCAAAAGATCTGAACAATAATTTATGATAATTAATAACTCTAATATATTGTTAAATTAAATAGGCACCGAGTATGTATGGTATCGACATCTCTTGGAGCCAATAAGAAATACATGTTACTTTATTGATTTGTAAGGGAATATTTTGTTCGAAATTTTTCAAATCTACATCTTTATTAATTCAATTCAATATTTTTTCAGTATGTAAATATATAGGCAAAAATATACAATATTAATCATATTTCCATATGTGCATTAATTTTTATATGTTTGCTTATACTATTAATAAAAAAATGCATATCTTACATTTTACAATATCAATGATATTATTAATATATTAATATTATTAGAAATATTATATAATTAAATTTTTGTTAAAAACTATTTTCAATTTACTAGCGGTAGATCAGTTACCGATGGGCAACACTTGCCTGCATTTCATGAAGTCACATTCTGTATTATAGAGACCAGTTTATATCAATGTTTGATGCTGGAGAGCTCAAAGTTTTATTACATAATAAATGCTATTTCCCGTCATACTGTTCACTGATAAAAATCATCTTTCGGCAAGGTATCAACATATTCACAGCATCCTATTTTTGGCTCCATCATATTCTGGTTATAACATTCTCTAGCAATTGTAAAATCAATATTTTAAACTCTACGGGTATGCGACGAAAGTTGTGCCAGCGCTCGACAACTAACCATCCCTCTAAAAATATTGTGTTACCGTTTGAGGATGTCTACTTCAGCTTTATCCTGACTACTTGCCGCGAGAAGTTTCTTCTTTTAATCGCAGTAGACAGTGGTGAAATTTTGCAAATTATTCCACACATTACAAAGTATTACAGCGATTGAATCGCTAATTTTCCAATGGAGAATATTAAATGTATGATTTTTCAACCATCATTAATCCATCATTAATTGTTTATAACTATTTTTTAACACTTGAAATATATATACACAATTAGAAATATCGTAACGTAATAACGATATGACAATTACGACTATAGAATTACTGAATATTTAATCAGAGTTGTATAATTAAGAATGCCGATTATAAATTTGCTACTCGACACACCCTCTCTCACTTATATATAACGCGGCATATTTATATAAAGAGGGTACTGAGTAGATCACGGAGGTCGCGTGGGTCTGGCATACCAATGAGTTCTACTCAAACTCTTCCTTTTACCCTAATCAGAATGCAGCCCTTGACGCGATGCGACCCCTTCATCTCGGGTGTTCCTGGGGCCCACCGGCTTTACTTTGCTCCCGGGGTTGCGGCTGGGGTGCACATTGGCCAACTTAGATGGGAGAGGGCGGTGATGCAACAGGGGTTGGTGAAACGAGGATCTTAGTACATCCAAGACGGTGGCTGCTATGAGGTGTTACATTCCATCCGAGATTTTCAAATTACCGGATTATGCCGGGGAAACTGGCTGGCGCAGCAACTATCTAAGGCGCTTAACGCCGTCGACACCGGGTCGCATGGTTTTAAGTGACGATCATCCTAACGCCCTCCGCATCGCGTCAAGTGGACGACGAGAATGAAGTTCAAGATTTAGTGGCTTCTTGCGCTGACAGCCTGACGAACGATGCTACCGGAATTAATGACCAGTTACAAGGCGATGGATGTTTGTTTCCATTGACATATATATTAAGGAAAGTACACAGTAGTCATATATTCGTACTAAAACCTTAACATAATTTTTATTAATTGATATTGCTAATAATATTATGATGAAGATTAATAAATTTCCATTAAAAATATGAATAAAAAGTGTGTCACTATAGACAAAATAATATAAAATCTATTCCAAATTTTTAATAATGATATAATAAATTAGAATAATTTTTTTATATTATTATTTCATTAAAACTTAAATAATTTTTTACTTTTTATAAAGCAAACTGCTAAATTATTATTATTATAGAATTTATAACGCGTACTATTTTTGTGGAAACAGTGGCACCAATTTTTTTTATTTATTATTTTTAATATCTATAGTTTATATGGATTGTTATTTTGAATTACGACAGATTTTTACAACTCTAAAAGCCTCTACTACCTCAAATTGATGTAACTGTGGTGTTTTCCATTCCATGTTGATTTCTCATTTTTATTCCGGTAAAAACTTCGTCTTTCTTACTGCTACGTAACTTTTGCATAATAATCATTAAAGTGAAACGCTCGTGCAACAATTGTGAAATGTGTCATGAAAAACGCGGCTGACATCTCTTACGTGAACTCTGACTAAACTATTTGAGTATACGAATTTATATCTAGTCAGCCTGTCGTTTGTAGCGTAAGAAGTAAAACACGATTAAACTAATTTTGTTTTGTTTTAAAAAATTATTACAATATTTATCTCGCAGCAGTATAAATATTGATCGTGACAAGAGGATATCTCTCTTGGCGCTTTTATTACGTTCTTCAAATCCTTCAATAGGAACGACCAATAATTATTACTGGAGATTTCACTTACACGAGGTATCATCAATACATAATATCACATGGTGATAACGATTCGAAGCTAATTGCCTCTTCCATATTACATTTCATGTCGTTACGTTAAATATTAGTACATACCAAAACACAGAAATACATGCGCATAGATGAAACCAATAAAATGCAAATGCGTTTTTCCATCATATTCTCGACATTAAATAAAGCTAAATTTATTCCTTTGCGGATCCTATATCAAAGTGAATATAACATGATAATTTACGTCAGTTTATCACGTTTTTTTTCCAAAGGTACTGCATTCGTTGAAATTAATTCGAAGCATAGGATTGGCTTTGAGCGTTACGTTTGTACATCAATTACAAACATCCTACAAACAAGTGTATTTTGATAAAGTTCGAAGTAGTTCTTGATATAAATTTCTACAGCGCAGCGCAAATGCGACCGTAATGTTTTGAAAAAACAATGTACTGAAGCCCATTATGTCAGACACTTCAATCATCGGTAGTTTGACTTTACAGTTTTTGCGTTCGCAATCGTGGAAAGCGATCACTCATGCGGTACGCATGGCGGAGACAATATCGACGCCGTCCAGCCGACAGTTTGGCTCAACGCGATACGCGAAGCGCAATCGGCTGCCATCGTCGACGAGCCCGATCGATGAAACCTGGCGCGATTTCCTTGATGACGAAAAGATATCTTTACGTAAGCCGGGCAGTTGAATAATACAATCGCCGATTCTTTTTAATTTTTTAGACGACAAAACAATAAGCGACAGATCGATCAGACGACAACTGGTGTTTTCTTAGACAGCACAATACAAACTTTTATCTTCGATGACGATCACTACGAAAGATATTGCGAAACTGACGAGGAGCAAACTAAATTGCTTGTTTGAGCGATTAACCACAGCGACGACTTGCGAGATCAATACGAGCACGCGCAGCGTCCACTATTTCTGTCAGGAGGATTATTTATTTTGACAGAGAGTGGGAGCGATATAAAAGATTTAGCGAGATAGATCGAATAGACAGGGAAATCACAGAGATCGAAGACTAAAGTAACCTTGCGGGATGTATCGGAAACTGTTTGTGTCGTTGCTTCCGCATCTGCTCGTTTGCAACACCTTGGCTAAACCTGTCATTTACGAGACTGTCGAGGGCGATGTCGCCGCCGTTGGCTCATTCATTCGTGAGATACGCCAACCGGCGCCGCTGAAAGTCGCTGCGGAAGTAGAGGACCTAATGAGCGCTGGTAACGCACCGAAGTCACGAGATGCTAAAAAACGCATGAAAAACGCATCTGGTATGTTCTTTACAGCTAGCGCTTGCTAATAAAATATACGACAATGTTATAGCCTAGAAAAAAGTCTTGAAAACAAATAATTTATTGCGCGTATTTGCATATAATTTAAATAATTATGAGAGAGAGAGAGAGAGAGAGAGAGAGAGAGAGAGAGAAAGAAAGACGATGAATTAGAACGAGAATGTATTTTGTATCAAGAAGAAGTTATTTATAATTCATAACTCTTCTTTTCCCGCAATGTCAATTCTCGAGCTGAATTTCGTAAACATGTTAGACGTCTTGTTGAACGTAACAAGAGCAGACAACAATGCGGTTTTAGGCAAATCAGACGAGGGCGGTTACTACAGAACCTTCGGCAGCGATGCGGACGGTGAGAAGGGTTACTTGAAGGAAACCTATGGTAAAGGTGATCAAGGCTACAAGACTCTCGACACCTTCCACAAACAGAACGGTGACAAGTATGAGTTTGAGACGCAAACCACCTATGGCAAAGTCAACGCCGACAATAACAGCAAGAAGAATCATGAAGAGAAAAAGAATGACGATCACGAGGGCGCAGGTAAAAATCATTAAATTGTAATTATAATCACAACACAATAGATACTAATAATATAAAAAGTTTTGATCACAAGAGATTGCTACTGGTTTTATCTTATAAATTGTATGTGTGGATAAATTATTAATTTCGTCAATTAACAATACAGTTATTTCCGGAGGATACATTTTGACAAAATTTACACTTCAAACCGTAGACATTCGACAATATGTACATAAAGTTTCAAAGTATTTCTTCATTCGAAAGTGGGTGCTACAAATTACGCGAAACTGTTCTTCGTAAATTGTGTTTAGTGCGATATGAAAATTTTTATAGGTACTATGGTCGATACAGACTACGCCGGCGACGAAGGCGATCACGGTGAAGGAGGCGAATACTCGCACCATACCGGAGGCGATGACGGAGGTCATTACAGTAGCCACTACACGGTGAAAGAACCAGAATCAAGTTATAGCCGCGGTGAAAATTATTCTTCTGGTGACGGTGACGAGGGATCTTATGAAACTCACAGTTCTTACAGCTCCGACGGAGACGGAGAAGAGGAGGGAGATCATTATTAACTTTGTCGGTGTCTCATTTTAATATTCATTGCAATTTAAATTGAAACATTTTTGTATAATTATAACTCTGCGACGTGTTATTGGAAAAATTAACAATTTATATAAAAAAATATGTTATTATTAAAATTATCTAAAATATAATACATGTAATATGTATACATGCAGACTACAATTTATTTTCAAAAGCGGAAATGATATATGTATATGTACTTTCTATTAAGTTACGAGCCATTAACGCGTCACGTTGCGGTGCGACGTCCTGAATTTGTATATAAATGGATTGTAATAACAGTTTATGTTTGATAGCTGATAAAATATTATCGTTGATGTGTATGCTAATTTTACTTGCTTGTTAATTTTGAATTTCTAATTTTTTCTGTATTTCCGGTTGATTATGTTAATCATGTTTAAAATTCGGGAATTTTGTAAACAGTCTTTGTAAAACATTGCGAGCTAAATGTTATTTTATCATTCAGAAATTATTTACGATATGCGAATATGTGTTATATATTTTAAGTTTTATGCTAGAATTTTAGAAATGGTCTAGAAATGTTGAAACGTACATTTTATTCATTTTTATGTTTTAAAATTTTATATTATGTCATTTGGTAGGCCTAAAACTTTACTGCGATGCACTGGAATCTTATAGAATTCTAAACCATTTCTTTGTTTGAAATATAAGATTTCAATACATCACAGTAAAGAAAATATACATTCTAAAGTTCTCACCTAACAAATGTTATGATATAACATTATAAAGCATAAAAATAAATTTTATATTATAACATTTGATAGATTTAGAGGACTTTAAAATGTACATTTTCTCTACTGCGATGGATTGAAATCTTATATTTTAAAGAAAAAATAAACACGCAATTTTATTTTAATTATTTTGTATAATGTAATGACGTCATTTTGCATCCTTGTTTAAACATTATTTTTGTTACATAAATTTAACTTGACTGTGATAATTATCGTCAATCAAGTTGCTAAAGAGAAATAGAAGATGTATATGTGCTGTGCCGTGTCAAATGGTTTATTCATGATTAACACAATTATTCTAACGTAATTTTTGAATTATTTTAATCAAAAGATACAAAAGCAACAACCATTTGCATCGATGCGTTATAGTAAAACGACGTGCAGAGAAGTACCCTGCCGGGCAAATCGAACGCTAGATTAATATTATAACAGTGTTTCCATTATGAAATTTGCCTTTATGCTTTCGCGCTGGGATCGATCGCGAAAGTACGAGCGTACGCTCGAAATTACCGCCCAGCGAAACTCGTTACATTAGCAATGTCCGTGCATGATCGATTATCAACAGCTAATCCATTCTGGGTTATATTTCGCGTTGCATGCAAATAGTTCGTTCTCACGGTACGGATGGATGCGTATCCGTTCGTCGAAACGTTAACTCATTAAGTGGTTTACTTCATCATTGAAAGTGCATCTCGTACATGCAATTAAAAGTGCATAAAGTCGAATATACTCGCCTTGTCAATGCTATTGGTTTAATTAGAATTTAGAAAAAAATGTAATTCTCGTAATGGAAATATAAAAAGAAATGAGAATTGCGTATTCTCCGCGTAGAAAAAAAAATAAAATGACTTAATACTGCAGCAGCCATTTATTTCCCGCATTAACAAAAGTCAAATCTTATCGTATGATGTTTATTTAGTTAAGATTCATTTTTAATATTCAAGTATTCAATTGAAATAAATTGCACACACAACGCAACATTTATTACATGCTGCGGCAACTAATTAAATTGTCGTTTAATATCACTCTGCGTGAGTGTGCAAATGCAGTCTGGGATTACCTTTGTTGCAAAGCGTAATTCTAATTTCAGATTTAACACCACGCAAGCGTCAAAAGTTACAATTTGTTCTCGGTATCTTTAAATGAGAATACGTTTTACGTTATGGTATTTACGATCGCGTGTAATTCGTGTTGGATTTGCTTCGTTCGAAAAGCAAATAGATTTTCAAATCTGTTCTATCACCGATTATAGATTTAGTTTAATTGTACGGTTAATAGCGACGGCTTGGAAACCGCGCGAGATCACAGATACGCTACTATCGGTTGGTACACGATAGACACGGCTAATTGCCGGCACAGTACAGTTCCAGCTGACAGAAGACGAATACGATAAAAACGTGAGTGTTTGTTAAAAAGTACTTTCTGTCACGCAAGAACGTGTCACGTTGTGTATAGTATATTTTAGCTCCGGCCATTGGTGTAGATGTGCAACATTTACGAGCGGCCTGCATTTTGCAATTATTTATAACGAGGAAACTTTCCAGGTGGTTGCCCATCCCCGAGTGGGAAATCGGTTTGTTAATTGCGCGAGATAATTATCGTTAAACGCTGCACGTGACAAAGAATTATTTTGTTGTCATCGCACTACCAATTTCCGTAGCCTGTGCGCAATCTGCCGTGTTAAAAGCAATTAATAAAGGAAACTCAGAAGGGACTCTGTATTTTCGTCTCTCTGTTAAGTTTACCTATCGATGTGTATTTAATTAAAAATTGAGGAGAAAACATATTATATATATTCTTCTCGAACAGAGATTAAAATGAAAAGTCATTATTAAGCGAAAATCAGTTCGATTCACGTTCAAAGCGGCATATAAGCGCAATTAATGAATTTAGTATTACAGCTAACAGAAATTGAGTATAAATGCTGTTAGTCCATTTAATCCAAATATTTTACTGCATTACGCGTTCTTTTACTTTTACTCCTATTTTCACATACAATCAGAAAGCGAATATAACTATAGCGGATCAATTGAAAATATCAACCATTTGCATAAATGAGTTTAAGAGGAAAGGAAAGCAAAGAGGGAAAGCTGAAATTAGAGACTATCACTATCACTATCAACTCCCTCGCGGCTATCACCGAAAAAGCTTGTAGCTTGAATGAGGCTCTTGACCGTAGAATGGTTACGTCGGGTAGTCGGTCCGGGTTTAAAATTAGAAAACAATTTCATTAGCAGCGCAGGAACCAGCACGAGGTTCTTTTGTTCGTCCGCCGTATAGCCCGACGGTTTTATTCAGCATGCGAGAATGCGCCACGAGGTTGATAACGCGGAGAAAAGGGGCGAAAAGGATGGAAAGGGAGAAAGGAAGGAGGAAAGATGGTGCGAGAGTAAGACTTGAATGTGAGACAGTTCGGTCGTCGGATTGGGGAAGTTGGCTCTAACGGTTCCATCAACTGATTGCATACCTCACAAGTTAGCAACGCGAAATCGACGACGTCTATTCACTGGTTCGTTGGAGATTATTAACAAAATTGGTAAAAAAAGCTGTTTGACTCTTTGTGATTCTTTTTCTGTCTGTGTAAGCATTTTTTTCAGATTAAATGATTACTTTGCCGATGATAACACTTTTATTCTAATGAATATAATATTAGAATTAATAGTATCATAATCGGAACGACGAATTTAATGGTACCTAAGTGTCTGATTATGAAAGCTACGCTTGAGAACTTTTCAAATCGTTAGGCATTACTGTCGGCAGCGGTGCGAGTCGAGCGAGAGTAACGCTGGAGCGTTTGGCGAGTCAACGAACCGTGACGCGATTCACGACACTCCGCGATGCTTCGCTTATAAAGATTTCAATAGCATTTTAGATTCTAATTGAAGCCACGCCGCGATCGTTGACCGAACAAAGGAACGGTGATTTGGATGGTCCGGCGCCGCCTCGGATCTGCTTACAAAGCAATCTTTCCATCTGAGCCGAGAGGTTCACGGCGACGGCCGCCTAATCTAATCTCCGTTACGACGATGCCGAGGCGAAATCGAACTTGGCAGAGCCCATGGTCTTCCCTCTGTCAGGGATTGCCGCGCGGAAGCTGGGCAGTAACCAATCTTTATCTTGATTATGCAGCGCCAACACCGGCAAGAGCCAATCTCCAATCGAAAGTGGTTGCCAAGTAAGGTCGTAAAAGCTCCAAATATATCGATGAGTATTTCACACTGCGAATTCAGCCGGCAGCCTCGGATTTGCAATGGAAATCAGCACCGGCGACGACCGATGTATGTCGTGATTTTGCACTTGCAGGATTTATTACTTTGCATACTCGATACATCGTCGTCATTATCATTTGTTTATTCCGTTCTGTCAAATGCGTGCAAGAATTATTTCGTCAATATAGAATAGTTATATTTGTAAATTTCGAGAACTATTTTACAATTATTGATATGAATAACTCTTGAAGCTCGAATCACTAAGAGCGTGCATCAAACTTCTCTCCCTTTCCGTTAGCATGGGGAGTCGGTGGAAGATTAAGACCACGGAGGCCATTATTTTTCGATGGTTTTTCGAGATTATCTAATAAAACCGTCAGAGATGTCGGAACAAATGGGTCAACAGTTAGCGAAACGACCCGCGCAACGAGCGCCGCTCGTGATATACGTGTCGCCGACGTCTGTAAAACTCAATAAATTGTTTTTGGCTTATGACGTTATAAATGGCACTGTGTTTACGAGAGGTGAATTTATGTCGTAGGTAATAGGATTAATGGTAAAATTAGACAGTTTATCGATGCGGCGAGCGCGACAACGCACGCGCTGTTATAACAAAACGCTTCTAGAATATACAGCGAGGTATATGCCTATATTTGTACGTCATGACGTTAATTAAAATCATTGCGCGAGCATCTGGTGGGGTACTTAACTTTAAATATCGATTGAGGTCACGCTGTTATGAGAAGTGTTGATCGAACGTGTGCATATGTCGAACAACGGGATGCCACTTTGATTCGAAATAGATATTTGGGCCGCAAGCCGTGCGGATTTCGAGCTGAGCGGGACATATCGCGTTCGATGTATTAATCGTTATTTGAAATAAGTGGAAAATAATTTGTCACATTTTTTACCATTGTTGTGATTCAATTATTTAGTTAGCAGCTGTACAGAGAAGATCTCTACAAAAATAAAACTATAAACAAATAAATAAAAGCAAAACAAAAAAAAATACAAATAAAAATAAAATAGAGAAACAAACCATATATTTTAATTAGTCACAGGAAAATTGATCTAAACATAGATATTGATAACAAATAAAAAAAAGAGGAATAAATGCAAATCTGGGGAAAGGATTAAAGAAGATAATGCGATTTGTTGCGGTCTAGAAATTTCCGTGGTATTATTCCCGCGACAGACCGTCGCAAAAAGTGATAATGGAAAGTTCTTCCTGCCGCCGGACACAATTTTTTTACGGAGATATTACGTTCACGCAGTGTATCGGAATACGACTAATCCAGTAAAAAAATGTACATCCGTTGTTCGCAATACTACTAGTTGAAAGCTCATAATTTCGAATACTAATATCATTAGGAGAGTATTAACGAATCGATTTATTATGTCACTTTGCAAGGAAGAAATCGCAATCAGCTGATTCGATGAATAATATTTTAACACCCGATTGGATGCTGCGAGAGACAGCGCGACGGAATATTCTAGTAGAATAAACGCAATGTGCAGCGATGCGAGAAAGTGTGAAACCGTGTGCCCCCCCCCACCAGTGTCAGTGGAGATTGGAACGAAATTTAGGAACACTTGCGGTCGTGCGGATGAAAGTGGACTCGGCGGAAACAGCTGTCCGCGCCATGGCGGAAGTAGCCGGGCCATCGATATTTAAGTGTCAACCGTTGTTACGTAGGCCATCAGTCCGATCGAAACCAGGTGCGATCGAGATGGTGCGAGGTGCGATGCTATTTCTGCCATTCATTGCAATATGTTCGTTCACATTGCGCACGACGTGTCACGCCCGGGAGCTGATCAGTGCGGAATCGCGTGTCAGCCGGCGCGATGTGCGAGGTACGAGCGATGACCATCATTTAGAGCCCACCGTGGCGTCGCCGACGATCGCAGAGACGGACGATGTCGACCTGGAGACGGCAGCGACCGGGCATAAGGGTCATCACCACGAGTCCGGTGGCGGTCACAAACACGAGTCTCACCATTACGAGGATCACGGCGGGAAGGGCGAAAAAGGATACAAGAGCCACCATCATCACGACAAAGGCGATAGCAGTAAGCACGATGAAGAGCATCATTCCGGTCATCACGAGCACCATGGCGGCAAGAAGAAGGGCCATCATGACGAGCATGAGAAATATGGCGAGCATCACGAGGGCGAAAAAGGGTCACAAGGGCGGTAAGTTTGGTGAGAAAAAGGGGCACAAGAAGGGCCACAAGACCAAGGGCTATCACAACAAATTTCACAAGGATGAATATCATAAAGAACACAAGTTCTACGACGATTATCATAAGGGCGGGCACCACGAGAAGCACGGTGACTTCCACGGTCATCACGAGAAGAAGGAAGGTCATCATAAGAAGGGCGGTCATCATCATTCCGGTTATCATGAGGATCATCACGGTAAGAAGGGCCACCACGACAAAGGTCATCACGACGAGGAGCACAAGGGCCACCACGGCAAGCACGGACACGAGGAGCACCATTCCCATCACGACTCACACGGCAAGAAAGGCGATCATCATTCCGGAAAGAAGTACGGTTATAAGAAGGGACATTAGGGCTGTACGCTCAAGTATAATACATGAAAAAGCGATCGCTCGTTCTACAGTTACGGCTCATGTACCTGCTCCAGACAAAATCACGCGACGACGTCGCGTGGTCGTATACATTTTGTACCGTTCTTTATATAGTACAAACGTGCGAACGCTGCCACGCGCGCAGAAAAAATTGTTCGGCCCGGCTGGCTTTTCTTTCCCCTCCACGCGGTCTTAATGGGGCAAATAAGTTTCTCCCCAGCTCATATTTGTCCCAGCAGCTACATTACAGTCAAGACGGCAACGTGATATTACGCCTTATCGATTCCTCGCGATTTATTGCTGCCGTTTTTCTTGCCGGCCTTTTACCACTTCCCATCGGCAAACTAAAGTAATTTCGTCATTTCCTCGCTTTGTGCCTCCGTTTATCGATAGAGATCAAGCGCAAAAACAAATATGGTATTGTTCCTACATCATGCAATTGTGGACTTTACTCGTTGACAATTATAAAATGGCATCATTATTAATGTCAGATGTCATTATCATCAATTCGGCTAAAAAATAGAGTCGATTAAATCGATTTATTTCCGGTACGTTATGTTTTATATCAATGCCATTTTTTACGGAACAAACATAAAACGACAGTTCCGTTGGTTTAAGCGCGCGCAAAACAATTTATAATGAAAGTATTTTTCAGCAGCGTACCTCCATTATCGGGCAAGAATAATGTACTAGCAATTCCGACGCAACATGAATTTTAATGTCACATATAGCATAGGTCATTAATGCGCCAATAATTGAGGTTAATCGATTGGCCAGCTGATTGAATTGATTACCGGATATTAATGTGCCGCTCCGCGGGAACGCGCGTTGCGAATTGACACCGTTAAATTTGTAGGTAAATACTGCGTACACACGCTGCAGCGTTATAGTGATAGCGTGCAACGTGATACTACATTTATCCACTGTAAAACATCAAAATGCAAATATACTTTTATAATATGATACAATATATATTATTTCATATTTAAAAACAAAACCGAGTCATGTTATCCGGAATTTAATACAATTCGAAAATAACATGCTCCACATTACACGTTTTTCGTATCGTTATTCTTTCCTTCATGCCGGTTCAAAATATTCTATTTTTAAATCCAATGTTTTTGTAGAAAATCATATGTTGTTAACATTTTTTCTACACAAATAACTCTATAGATTTATCTGGACAATTATTTCGTTTTCCCGATCTCTCGTAATTTTTACTTCCACCATTATGCCCGCATTATGACGATCTGGCCAGCCGGTGCAAACCGTCGAAAACATATGTCCATTTAATGTAAATCGCTAATGCCTTCTGCAATATGCATACATACATACATAACCAGCGCTCATTATTCATCGATTAATGAATGAAGATTTTAGAAATACATACTGTATGAATCAATCTTCGTTATGTGCGAAAATGCATATTTTAAAAATTTGTCAATTAATAACGAAAGATAAATTTTCGCATAAATATACATAACTACTTTTACTAAATATAAACATATCTTTGAGGAAAAATTAATTAGTCTGACCAAAGTTGGTGAATAAAGATAAACAAAACTTTTCAGCAATTCCTGATTTTTTTTTCAATTTTTGCCTCTAATTAACATTTCACGTTAAGAAGATTAGTTCACGTGCCACTGATGGAGTAAAGCTTTGATTATGAGCATATTTGATTATCTCGGTTTTTAGCGCGATACAATGAGTACGCCAACAAGATGAGCTTAATCCAAATATTTAATCTAGCAGCTTACGTCGTCAAAGGATTTCTTGCGCGGCCTCATGATGCAATTTTCAGTATACGTCTGTAGCGCGCGAGTCATTTATTATTCGAGGGGCTGCTTCAGCTTCGTGAAAATTTTATCAAAGGTACCTCGAGTTCAAGGTAGAGCTTATTTAGCTAGTTTTCGGCAACATTATGTTAGATAATTCTTGTTTACTTATCTATCCATAAGAAATAATTTGCCTTTATTATGTGTTCTTTTAACACACGATTTTAAAAAAATGCAATATACTAATGTAAATGTCCTTTATCTCGTGCAAAAAGCGATTAAAAGAAATAAATTTTTTTGTCTCTAGTCTGGGAGCAACCTGCGGAAATGCTACGCAAATGTCACGTGTTTCTGAATCCTCATTAATTTGGCCGAATAGCGCGATTATTCTAGCTTCATGAAAGCACGCGGAATCACAGCGCAGAACACCGCGTACTTCTTCAAGCGCATTCGTCCTTTCCCTTTTTTTCGCATACACAGCAGCCACTTCAATTACATTAATTAAACCACCCACACGTACATTACAAGCCGAAACAATAGCGGACCCTTTCGACGGCCGCCGGAATTGTCACATGGCGGAGCATTTCAAGTAGGTTCGCTGCCGCGCGCATGCAATCTCCGGCGGAGAATGGGCTCGCGCGACCCTGAACGCTCGCTACATCGTACATGGCAGTAAAGAAGTGCATAAAGCCCCCGTTAATCCGTGTCCGGAGTACCGGAATTCAATTCGGACGAACGCCATGGAAATGGCGATCTCATTTGCTACAGGGTGGGATCGTTAATCAAATCCGTGGCGCGATGAATACGATAGTAGGCGCCGCGTGTTTTTGCCACGCCTGTTTTTACAACGAACGACTCACACACAAGACGGCAAAAAGTAGTCGCAGTCCAATATCGCAGCCATGTAAAGCAGATTGAAAATGCGCTAATGAACGGTGAATATTAATTGAAAATTACAGAATGTTTCTTGCATATCCTGAATAATTTAAACGTGTATAATAATTACTGTTGTTCCTGTTTAATCAACTTACATTGATAAGATAATAAGCGTAATAGATGAACTGCAGTGTATTCTCCGAAAGAGTTCATTGAACTAAATATTAATACCGCGAGGATACGCTGTATTTACCGCTGCCCGATAATGCGTTATAACCAATGCGGATTTAATGCTGCTTATTAATATCGGAATTTAATAAATAGCTGCAATATAGGAATTTTTATTAACAGAGCGAACGTTCGCAGGCATGCTAGTAATATATAAAGTTTGTAATTTGCACTTGTTCAATAATGAGTGTATAACTGTATAAATTGTGAAGGAAGTACAGATTCTAACATCTGAAAAATTAATAATTTATGTGGAGAAAGATGAAATATTATATAGGTTCCTTCCCCTCAAATATAATAAGCTCTAAATACGTCACGTACATCATGATGAGTGCAATGTCAAATGTTTTTATCAACATTGATAATTTTTAAGAAAATCCTCCACGCTTTTAAAACAATATAACAAGTTAAAAACAAAGTTAAAAACAAAGATTCTTTGATACGTACTGCGCGAATTGCGCACAGCGCAAACAAGCATGTTAAATACATTATTTTATTTCAACAATATATGCATGATTAACAATTAATAGACATAGAATATATATATTCTTGAGTTATACTGTGTAAGAAACGATACGGAAGTGGATAGAATTCAATATTTAAAAGCAGCTGGTGGTATCTCCCGAGCAACGAGAAATCTTAATGTCCCTTTTTGAATCCCCATTCCTTGTGATCCTCGTGACCGCCCTTCTTGCCATGATCGTGATGGTGATGGTGGTGCTCGTGATGATCATGGTGCCCCTTATGACCCTTGTGATCATGGTGATGGTGACCCTTCTCGTGGTGACCCTTCTTACCATGATGACCTTCGTGATGGTGATGATCGTGATGGCCTTTCTTAAAGTGACCTCCCTTTTTGTGACCGTGCTCGTGATGATGGCCGCCGTGCTCGTCGTGATGACCGTGATCATGGTGCTCGTCGAAGAACTCTTTATCCTTCTTGTATTCGTCGTGCTTCTTCACCTCGTGGTGACCGTGAGTGCTGTGGCCTTTGCCATAGTGTCCTTTCTCGTGAAACTTGTGACCCTTCTCTCCCTTTTCGCCATGATGATGTTCATGATGGTGGCCATCGTCGTGATGATGATGCTTTTTGTGTCCCCCGTGCTCATCGTGATGGCCATGATGATGCTCCTTGTGATGATGTCCTTTTTCGCCTTTGCCGTGATGATCGTCATGCTTGTAACCTTTATGACCCTTCCCGCCATGTTCATGATGATGATGGGAATGATGCTCCTCTCCGCCGCCACTCTCGTGACCGTGATGATGGCTGGCGGCTACCTGCAGATCGTCGTAACGATCTTTGGTAATTTCACGCGCGGTGGTAACGCAATATGTGGCGATATACATCGCCGCAAAAATGGCCACCAACGGCAATGCACCACGTATGGTGGACATAATAGAAAAAATTGTTTTAATATTCACCGTATTTTGTTTATTTCGGTAACGATACAATCTAAGTGTCTTCTAACAGCGCAAGCTGTATCATGTTACAGATCAACGAAATGATGTTATTTATATTGCAATTCTGGTGCAGCGAGCCATCAAGAGTTATAAGAACTATATATTTATATAAAGAAAATACGGCGGGGGAGTTCCGTTTCATTTCCCCCATTGCAATAAAGACAGAGTCTGTTCCACAATATTTTGTAATCCACTATTTTTGTTTACAGTTATATAAATAAAATTACCTGACGCTGATTAAACTTTCTTTATCGATACCCGATAGTTCACTGAACCTAATAGAAAGTTACACTGTCAATATTGTATAAATTTAAACCAAATAAAAAAAGTTAAAAAAAACATCCCTATTAAAATAGTTACGATAGATTTATTGTTTTTACAATCTGATTCAAAATCATACATTGTTTGTCAGTATTCTCTATATTCAACGAAACACATACGTATACTTTTTTAAAAATTTAAAAAAATGTAGCATTATATTTAATATTTGATTAAACCTTAAAATATTAATTTCACACACATTTAAACTTTGTAAAAATATTATATATATTATATATATTCATATACATAACTAAATTTAAAAAAATTAAATAGATTAAAAAAGTTTCTTCTCTCATAAATCCCATAATTAAAAATTGAATATATAATTATCAATTTATATATTCGTCTTGTTCGCTTACTTTTTTATATATATTTTTTTTAAATAACATGTAATCTATAGATTTAAAAATATTAATATATAAAATATTAATAGTACATTTTATGTGAATAATAAACACATATCTAAAAATTTTACATTCAAACAATTTTTATAAAGAATTTATTATGAAAAACATGAATTGTCTAAATAATTATATATGATTCATGCTCATTTTACTTGTACATGAAAAATATATCTGTATTTCATGGCAATATTGCAAAACTTTTGTACAAAATATTTCAATATAAAAATAAAATTTAAAATATTTCAATATAAAAATAAAATTCAAAATATTTCAATATAAAAATTTCAATATAAAGTTTATTATGTAAATATAAATGTTATTAATTTGTATTTAAAATGTACATAGAGAGATATGTACTTAGTATGCACTTAATATGTTAATATAAAAAATTTTGATACGTCAATGAGACATCGTAAGATCATTATGCTACAGATATATAGGAGAGTTATTAGGGAAAATAATAAGTTCTGAATGCTATGTATATTCGGTATAGACATTTTAATTTCTCAATAACGAAATGGTAAACCCATTATTATTCGCCACTCTAAAAATAATCAACGAAAAAACGAGGAACAAACGGCTTAACAATTCATTCTGTTTGTGTTGCGCTAAATTGACAAATTTCGCATGATTAATGATGATGGCCGTGATGACCGCCGTGGTGCCATCCATGCTTTTTGCCACCGTGATGTTCGTGCTTCTTTCCATAATCTTCGTGATGATGGTGGTGCTCTTCGTGACCATGTTTTCCATGGTGGCCATGATGATCTTCATCGTAATGTCCTTTATCATGGTGACCTTTCTTTCCATGATGATCCTCATGATGGCCGGAGTGATGATGTCCGCCCTTCTTGTGGTGGCCTTCCTTGCCATGGTGATGCTCGTGATGATCACCATGCTTCTCATGGTGACCGCCTTTGTGATGATCATCATAGAACTTGTGCTCCTTGTGAAATTCGTCTTTATGAGATTTGTGATGGTAACCATGAGTCTTCTCGCCCTTCTTATGACCCTTTCCATGGCCGAATTTCGACTCTTTATGGCCGTGTCCGTGTTCGTGATGGCTACCGTGCTCGTCATGCTCGTCGTGATGACCTTTCTTGTGGCCGCCGTGCTCGTGATGATGGCCTTCGTGATGTTCCTTGCCATGGTGGCCATGTTCACCTTCTTCGTGATGATGATGGCCCTTGTGTCCTTTATGGCCCTCTTCACCGTGTTCTCCATGATGATGAGAATGATGTTCGTGACCACCACCATGTTCATGATGATGACCATGATGGTGATGGGTACCGGCCATTTCCAGATCTCCCATCGTACTTCGGACATCGCGTGCCGACGATACGGCGATGACCGTGCATACCACGGCCATTCCTAGGAGCAAGCATGGACCTACGTATTTAGCCATATTGGCACTCTGTAGGACCAACGAGTGCAATTGACTGACCAACAATCTTTAAAGCACAGCTTATATACCTGCGGCTCCGCCAACGCTTTGCACGTAACCACTTTCGTTCCTTCGCTCTTGTTTAATCACTATACATACAGGGCTCGTATTTCGTAAAACGCTTGTTTGCACTGTACACTTGTACAGCAATCTTAGATTACTCAACAGAGCAAAACAATATTATTTTTCCAATATCAATTTCTATATTAAGTAGAATCTAGCATGTATAATATGTGTATAAAAATATAATATATGTTCAGAATCAAATTATGAGTAATATATAATTTAAAGCATATTTCAAATTTTCAAAAAAAAGTAAAATATTAATTAAAACATTTAAAAATTATAATGTGAATGATATGTATATATTTTTGAAAAAAAAAAAAAATAATTTTACATAATAAAATTTATTTTGGTATAAATCTTTAAATACAGCAACAAAATTATATTACTGAATAATGTGTAATATTTCATGCTGTTATTTTTTGCTATTTCTTATGCTCTATCAAAATTAAACAAAGAAAATCTGCAAGGAGAAATCGAGTTAGTCTAAACTTAACTAAAATGTCAGTTAATCTTGCAGCTAAAACAGTCAAGTTGATCCAGGATTTATCAGGGAGTAAATAGAAGCTGTCCGCCAATTTAGCGGTTGACGACCGACGAAACGAGACGCACAGTAAACCGGAACAATTTACCGCTTCTCATTCATTACCGCCCAATTTATTTTCTGCATCAATCGACGCATTCTTTTTATCGTTTCTATTCGCCAACATTCAATAGTGATGTGCATCCCTGCATTTATCTCCATGCATATATATTAATCGTACAAATTTCCATCTGTTATAGAAATAAATTAGAACTGTCGAAAACCAGCGTGTTACCGTTCGACGAGGTGACAAAAACGCTCTTATTTAGACTCTATGGACGCAGTTTGGCAAGCAGGCCAACGATTTCAATAATTATTACATAATGGCCCGAGCGACAGTCGCGGACTCACTGAAATCCGCATTACGATTTAAACAGGTTAAGGAGACGTTGCTTTCGCAACGGTCTAACGAGCCAAGAAAGAACCCTGGCCTACCCTCATATCGATTATCCTGCGATCGATATATAATCCGAGCGAGGCGACTGGTTTAATCATACCTACCGATCACAGCGGCGAAGTCAAACACCTCTCGTTGATATTGGATCGAACGAGAATAAACACGGCACGATGAGCAGATTGGCGGCGATCTGCCTGCTGGCAGCGTGCATCGCCTCTCACTGCGTGACCACCGCACGCGAGATCACTAGAGCTCATTACGACGATTTGCAGGTAGCCGCTACCCACCATCATCATGAAAGCGGCCATGGAGAAGAACACCATTCCGATCATCATCATCATCATGGCGGGAAGGGAGACAAGGGCTATAAATCCGGGCATCATCACGACAAAGGAGAAAAAGGGCATCATGATAAGGAGGGCCATTCTGGACATTATCACGAGGACGAAGGACATAAAAAACATCATCATCACGATGACGGTTACTACAGCGAGCATCACAAGGGCGAGAAAGGAGAGA